ATATATATTGATTTATCTATATATTTTAGCATATGACAAAATAATAAAAAAGCTATAAACTGTGTTTGTCTTTCTATTCACCAACTTATTTATCTTGTTGTTCAACAATTTAACTTTCAAGATCTTAATCAACTTATTCAACTCAATTGCCTTTATATACCTCTCTCTTTCTTTAAACATTGTTATATACTTTGAAATATATATAGATTACATATTATATATTATTATGCGTGTATTAATTATATATACATATATTGACTTATATATACTATATACAGGGTGTCCCATCAAAAGTGACTATCCTCTTTTATCTTTTAAACTAAAAGAGATAGACCAGAACAAATACATATCAAATTAAATGTTTCAAACTGAACTCTATTGTGAGCATAATGGTTGCTTTCAAAAACTATCTGTGTTAACGAACGGAGAGGTATGCATAATTTTTTTATAATAATGTGGATATTTCGATATGATAAAAATTGTAGCACTGTTTGAAACGAATACAACGATGTATTCGTGATATATACAGGGTGTCCTAGACCACCCATACACCCCTTTTCTTTCAAAAACTAAGCATTTTAGAGAAAAACGTTTTGAACAAAAATTGTATGGTTTTGAGGGGAACATAAGATGGTGTCATTGGTTTGACCTTGGATGGCATCGTTAAGGTCAAGTCAAGGACACCTTTAATTTCTTAAATGGAATCCCCTATTTTTTATTGCATATTCTTATAGCTTATCCCGAGAGCTTTCCAAAACACTATAATAAAGTATTTTTTTCTTAAAAATAACTGTGTGTTTCCTTTGCACCAATTGCTCTCGTTATTTTGTGCATATACAGGGTGTCCCGCAACGTGATGTCCACACTGAAACTGTGTATTCTTTGTGTCATTCTAAGTCAAAAAGTCTTAATACACATATGCCCTAAAGTCGATTGTTTCAAAGTTATAGCGAAAAAACAAAATTGCATAAAATAAGAACAATATTATTTAATCACGCAATATTTTCCAAATTGTCGTTTTGGAGACGTTAGTTTGCGCCGAAAGTCTTCTGATACTAATAGTAGAAGTTCTGTCCACCGTTGCTAGTATCGCATCCTCGACTTGACGATGTCGCCTTAATGGTCTCTCAAGATTTTTATTTGGGACCTTACCAGTAAATTTAATGCTTCGGTGGACATTGCTAAAAACTCTTCGATCTGGTACTCTGCGATTAGGAAACCGTCGGTGATATTCTGTTACTGCTGCACGTGCGTTACCATTACAGAAACCATAAATAAAATGAATATCGGCATATTCTTCATTGGAAAAATTTTTTTATAATGTGGATATTTCGATATGATAAAAATTGTAGCACTGTTTGAAACGAATACAACGATGTATTCGTGATATATACAGGGTGTCCTAGACCACCCATACACCCCTTTTCTTTCAAAAACTAAGCATTTTAGAGAAAAACGTTTTGAACAAAAATTGTATGGTTTTGAGGGGAACATAAGATGGTGTCATTGGTTTGACCTTGGTTGGCATCGTTAAGGTCAAATCAAGGACACCTTTAATTTCTTAAGTGGAATCTCCTATTTTTCATTGCATATTCTTATAGCTTATTCCGAGAGCTTTCCCCAAAACACTATAATAAAGTATTTTTTTATTAAGTACTTTTTGAGTTATTTTATATTTTAATCTGACATATTTTGATATAAAAAATAAAATATCTCGTAAAATATTTAGTTTTCGATAATCTTACCGTAATACTTTTATGTACAGAATAATAAAACAAATCAATTGCTATAAAAAAAACAAATAATTGTTTAAAAAAATACATTATAAATAATTACATACTTTTTCTTAAAAACAATTATTTTTTTTACACTAATCTTCCGCACATGCCATACATACAATATTTTTTGTAATGCCTGTTATTTCCGCACTACTAGTGCGGTAAGGTAAGTCATAAAGGTGCTTTTCTCGCATTAGTGTGACACATAACTAATTTTGCATTTTTTCGCTATAACTTCGAAACAAGCGACTTTAGGGCATATGTGTATTAAGACTTTTTGACTTAGAATGACACAAAGAATACACAGTTTCAGTGTGGACATCACGTTGCGGGACACCCTGTATATAATAACAAAGCTATTGAATAAATTTATTAGAAACTCGATTGTGTTCTATGTGTTATTATCTATTTAAGACTTCCACTTTCGTTCGCGCGTGTACAAATTTATTAATTACATTAGACATTAGTAAAATGGTAATTATTTACATTAACGGACACCTCGCCGATGACCTTGACCTTGACATATGTTGTCAAGGACATGACCCTGAGTAACTTTTCCTTCCCAACAAACACATATTATAACAGTTATATAACATTGGAGTAAAAAATTAAAATAATATCTGTTATATCTTCATTATATAAAATTGTTATATATTATGTGTTTACTGTTGCTATATAATATATTAGCAAACACATATTATAAAGATAGACCATAATAAATATATATTAAATTAAATGGTTCAAACTGAACTCTTTTGTGAGCATAATGGTTGCTTTCAAAAGCTATCTGTGTTAACGAA